CGTGGCCGTCTGTGGCCGTCGTCGTTATCGTCGGACAGACAGCATGAGCCACACAGGATTCGCGTGCACCAGCCCATTAGTGCTGAGTAATTGAAGAGACAATTTTTTTTACCATTTACTACCCCAGACTGGAGACGAAGGAGTCATTCAATCTGCAGTGAAGTTTGATGTGCAGGTGGCGACGGCGGCAATTCGACCCAGTAGGGCTGGTTTCTCTGCAGAAGCAGAAGCAGAGGCAACAACAGAAGCAGCAGCAGACTGGATCCAGGCCAAGCAAAGCACGGCATATGTCGAGAGGTCGCGACGAGAGTGTTTCGCAAGAAGCAGGGGATTCACCCACCTACACTCAGGTGAGAAAAGTCTGACCCATGATGACTGTCAAAGCAGAACTGCGCAGCGCGAGCTATGAGCCACAGTGCCACGACAGTCACAATAGGTGGCCTCCCCCTGACGCTCTCCTTCCAAGGAATCAAGAGGCGTTCATCAACTTGTCTAAGGTACCAACATGTGGCTTGTGTCTGACGCTCGGTGAATGGCGCGGGGGAGTTCCATTCCTGGGCGCCAACCAAGTGATCTTCCCGCTCGGATCCCGCTAGGGCGTACTAATCCCTGCCAACACCGAATCTTGCATATGTCGAAACACTAGAGTTGCGATGGCTCTCGACGGCTCTGACTGGTTCTTACTGGCTGTCGCTGGCTCTCACTCGATCTGCGGGTGGCTGTTGGCTACCAATTTCCGACCGCATAGCTTCCGCGACGCCGTGGCTTGCAGTTGATCGACGTCCACAATCTACACATTCAGAGTCGATGACTCTGTGAAGTCTCTCTGCCGACGTCTCCTGGTCAAGTGCCGGAGGAAACCCAAGAACAATATTGATGATTTATCCCTACCTTGCGTTGAGCGTTGTGTGCTGTCTACATGTCCAAGGCCGAGACTGACGTTTGCCCAGGCTCCGGAACACAATAGTAGCGGTGCATCCGGCGTGGGGCACCATGCGGATCGACCTCAGCATCATGGCGGCATGCGAAAACCTCGTCCTGATCTTTTCCAAGCTTCCGCTCAGGACAGAGCAGAATAGCGCGCAAACGAAGGAAGCGAAAACGTCAAGGAGTGGGCCAACGGGCCATCGGGTGTGCCTGGCCTAGCCCTAAAATGGTTCAAGAGAATTGTGACAGCAGCTTCTTCCGACAATTTTAGGCAATCGAGCAGTGCGATTTCTTCTGCTCGTATACTATCCTTGGTTTTAGCTGCAAAGCTAGCGTACTGCCCGGTGAAGTGGCTCGGTGTCTGTGCCGAGACCGGACGGGCCCCGACCTACGCTCCGGTAGCCCACCGCAACAGCTCTACCTGACGCCGGTGCCTAGGTGACTGGTTCAGACGCCCAGTCGACGAGGGCAAAGTGGGACGAGGATGATCCTGTTGCCCACCGCGGGCACTACGGACTTGGACATGGAACAGCTTGGTAGTCACGGTAGCGTGTTTACTCCTTGCTGCAGTGAGATGTCGACTCGGCCAATCTTCTGGCCCCTGTGTTTGGAGCTCTCGCAGATGCAACGCGCATCCCACAGTCACCTCATATTCTAACCGTCTCCTTGGGCCCTAAGCAGCCATGGTCAACCCTGCTGCAGTCCACGAGCCTGCATACCCTCCCACGCAAGATGCAAGGACGGGCATCGGTATTTGCTAGCACTCCGTGAGCTCCAGCTGGGGAGCTCTCGGGGATCTGCCTTTGCCCCTTCCTCGTCTCTTGAGGCGAACCGAGTGTCTGATCTCTGATGTACCTTTCAGGAAGCTCAATGCCCAGATGTCAGAACTCAACGAACCACTTGTCTGGGAAAGGAAGGGAAGGGAGCCAAGCGAGCAAGCAGCAGCAGCAGCAGCACCACCACCACCACCACCACTACCATTAGCAAGCAGGCAAGCACAACGGCGGCGGCCGACATGCAAGCGCGGCACAAGTATCTTTGGCTATTTTGTCAAGGATTATACACCATCACCGGGGTCCAAGACTCTGGGCATCCGTTGTTGGACCATGGATGGCGGAATGGACGGCGAGGTGGACTGACAAGTTTGCCGCCGCCGCCCGCTGTGCGCCGATCCATGATAGTCGCAATAGGGTGGTATTGGACTTCTTGCCATGGCGCTTGGGGAATCCGGCGAGCGTCCATACTCGCGTGGTTCAGTCATGTTTCCAGACAAAGGGACCGTTGGCCGTTCCCCGTCGGTCCGCTTGGGCGTTCCATGACCGGATGGCTGAACGTGGCCCTCACTCTTCTTAATAACAGCCGAGAGACACACCGTCCTCGAGACCCGTCATCGTGGTTCTTGTCGTTTCTGCTTTCCTGCATCAGCAGGTCTTATTCTTCACTCTCTTTTGTTCTTCACCCCTAATCGACCTTGACGTCGGTTCCCCCCTTTACCCTTCTTCATACTATACCGTAGACAACACTTAGTTGTATTCCCTAATATCACTTGGCCTTGTCACGATGGCCGTAGGCGTGGCAATCCTCGGCTTTATCCTCTTCTGCGCATGGCGCCTTTACTCCGCCATTCAGTTGAAGAAGAGGATTCCAGCGGGAGCAAAGCCTCTTCCTGGACCAAAGGGTAAGCTGTTACGACCACGACATGCCAACGATGGTATACAGACACTGACTTCAGCACAGGCCTGCCCTTTATTGGTCGCGTTCACGATGTTCCGGCAGAGGCGGCATGGATGAAGTTCCATGAATGGGGCCAGCAGTATGGCCCAATCTACGGGCAAGAGATGTTCGGTTCTTACCACGTCTGGATCTCCTCTGAGCAAGTTGCTCACGACCTCCTTGGCCGTCGTAATGTCATCTACTCTGACCGGCCCATGATTCCTAACCTCCCGGATAACCGCACCAGCGGCGACTACCTTGCTCTCCTTGGCCGGACAGGTACATCTTCTACTTGCCTCTCACCTAGATATACTCACTAACAATCCGGTCAGAAACATGGAAGCGCCAGCGCAAGCTTTGCCACCACCTCATGAACCAGAGCGACAAGCAGGAGCTCCACGCATACCCGAGCCGCGAGCGCGATCGTTTCCTGTGGCTTCTCTACCAGAAGCCTGCCGAGTATCGCGAGTACATCGAGCAGTTCACCAGCCGAACCGTCAGTCGCCTTTCTTGGGGTACCGCCCACCCGGCCAGAGTTCTGCGCAAGACCACCTTTGGCCTTCTCGAGACCATCTCCCCTGCCGGTGCTCTTCCTAATGTCATCTCCTTCCTCATGCACGTCCCCGCAGCGCTGTCGCCGTGGAAGAAGAAGGAGGCAGAGCGCCACGATATTGAGTCGAAGCAGTTCACGAGCAACGTCGACTTTGTCAAGGATCAGGTCGAGAAGGGTACCGCCGCGCCGAGCTTCATCAGCACGTTTATCAACGAGGGTCTCGGAAACGAAAAGGGCAAATGGGGCGACCTTGCGGAGGCTCAGAACGTTGTTGGTCTCATGGCCATTGCTGGCGCCTTGACCATCGGTAGCCCCATCCAGAGTTTCCTCCTCGCCATGCTGCACTACCCCGAATGGCAGGCTCGCTTGCAGCAGGAGATTGACGAGAACTGCGAAGGCAGATGCCCTCAATGGTCGGATCGTGAGAAGTTGCCTTTATTGAGAGCTGTCGTCAAGGAAGTCATTCGGTGGAGACCCCCGGTCCCTACTGGTACGTTTTGCGCCATCATAGTGGAAGTTTGTTTTTGAGTTCAGCGCGATTGACGTGACGTGCAGGCATTCCCCACGCTGTCGAAAAGGACGATGTTTACAACGGCTACTTTATCCCTGCCGGTGCCACGATTCATGCTCTTGAATGGTTAGTAGCTCGACACTAGGACCAAGTGTTCGTTCCATTACTAACGCAGCCTAGGGGCATCACTCGCGACGAGTCCGTCTACCCCGATGCTGAGACCTTCAACCCCGGACGCTGGGTGCAGCCTGAGTACCCTACCTACAAGGAGCCTCTCACTAGATTCCCCAACCTCGACGGCTTCAGTCAATTCGGTTTCGGACGCAGGACGTGCCAGGGTGTCCCCATTGTTGACCAGGACCTCTTCCTGTCCATGGGAGGCATGGCCTGGGCTTTCAACATTCGCAAGAAGTTTAACGCCGACGGCACTGAGGTCCCCGTGCACTGGAACGACTACACCCCTCTCCTGATCGCCAAGCCCGCTTTCTTCGACTTTGACGTTGTCGCGCGCACGCCCGAAAAGGCCGACCTTATGAAGGCCATGTTCGATGCCGCTAAGGAGGAAGACGAGAATGAGGAGCTCATGATGAAGATGGGTATGCCTGACATCGACACCCGCGAGAAGAAGAGGGCTGCCATGTCTGTCAAGCCGCCTTCCGTCACGTTGAATCTCCGCCAAAGAAAGGAGGATGGCGAGCGCGAGAAGCAGTACCGCGAACACGAGCGCGACATCCCCGGATGCCCTGGCCGATGGGCGACTGAGAGCGACGTGGATTCGGGTAACGAGAAGGGATATGTTGATGGAGAGGACAGCGCCAGCGCCAGCTGTTCTGGACGCTCGTCGCCGACGATGCTGTCGTAGGATCACTATGGCTATGGGCGTGAAGGTGATGAGTCTAATGAGGATGGATGGCAAGAATGTTTGATGATAGGATAGGATATTGGTGAGATCATGGACGGCGCTGATGGATCATTCGGATTGATATCAGGGATTCCCTTTGTTTACGGGCTCATTTTTTCAAACGGAAAGATGCCGATGCTACTGAAGGAGCTGGTCATCTGGAGGTCTAGAATGTGACATGGATGGATATACCTTCTACGATGTATGAATATAGAAATTTACACTTATACCACAATCATTCAAAAAAATAATAATCCAAACGACTCTCCAACTCATAGTGCCTAGCGTGAACAACGAGGTCATAGGCTGGGTGATGCAGAAACAACGCCGGCCCCGCAATCAATTGGATCCGCTTTCACACTTCGGGTGGATCATGATAGCTTCACAAAAACCAAAAACATACAACACCAGGTATTCGCTGGTCGTCACCGACCCAACTACTAATCCGGCCCTCATTGGCTTATCTATGGGAGAGCGGACGGGATCCCGAGTTTTCCAATGGGTATGGTCGTATGTGGTGGTTGAGATTCGTGCTGGTGCTCATGATTGACTTCGCAGACAACACCGTGATGCTGTCTTTCGCCACAACACAACCTCAACAAATCTGAAAGAAAATCCTCAAAAGAACACTAACGGCGTCTAGCGCTTCTAGAAACGGTGGCAAGAATCCAAACGGAACGGTAGTGGAGCCCGTGGTCCCGTTGAGATCAGATCGTGACAGATATCCGTCCGTTCAAGTTTCGGCGGCCTGCCGCTGGGGGTGTCACAGACTCACGTTCCCTTTGAGATGACTAAGCGGCGAACGGCATCTAGTGGATGGAAATTTGAATTACTGTGACTTTCCCAACGGGCAAAGAGCTGGTCGAAGCTGAGCTGAGCTGGAGCTGGAGCTTCAAGCTGGGTAGAGCTGGAGGTCCCAAAGGGGGGCAGGGGGGCGAATGGCAAAGCTCTCCGACATGCCAAGCCCTACGCACAGGATTCACGGTTCCGACGACCGCTACGGCCATCTCTGCCTTAGCTTCTTCTCGAGGCGATGGACGAATGGGGATTTGAGTACGTTTCGTCCTGGAAATGATGCGATTCGTCAGAGTACGGGAAGGGCCTCGAAGGGAGGTAGGTTCTGGACCTTTGACGCGCCGAACAGCGAACGGGCGGTGGCCCAAGGGGGATGAGATGTGTCAGAGGAGGAACGAGAGCCCGAGATCCATGACGGCCTGAAGGGTGTTGAGGTAGGTGATGGGATGATCTGAGATTTAGCCTCCTTTCAAACCCGTGGGGGAGGGAACACTCACCCAAAGTAGTAGTAGCAGCTATCACCAAAGCTTGAAATGGGGGAGAGATGGGATGAACTCTGAGTTAATCGGGAATCAAAGCGGGCCCGAGGCCTTCCATTTTTCATGATTATTTGGCATTGTCGCCGACGTTAATTCGCCGCTCACTTGATTTCGCGATCTCGGAGTGATCCCTTCTTTTTTTGAGTTGAAAGGTAGGCATTGTCGGGTTGCCGAGGGGATCTGGTTCCGCCCCAAGCTCTCACAATTAAGCTTAGAAGCTTTTGCTTATGTCCTAGAGCTTCGTGTTTGGACGATATTGACAGTTTGAATGTTTGTATTCCATCAAGATTAGCGTTTGTTTCGAGAGTCTCAAAACAGGATGTCCCCTTCACTCCCGTCTCGTTCGTTGATGTGTTTGGGAAGCCAAATTGCTGGGTTGAACTAAACGGCCTCATGTACAAACGACCCTGATACTAGTCTATAACTCTGCTCACTTTCCGTCGGCTCCGTTAAGCTTCATGTTCGCCTTTCTCTTACTTCGAACGGGCGGTTGTAGCTTCCCGCTTCGCTAAGTCAGACCCCCGCTGTATTGTCAAAGATTGAAGATTTAGACTCTTGACCCTTACCCTTTCCACAGACTTTTGGCAACTCCGCATAAGGCTTTCTGATAGGCCCATAGGAGCCGCCAGTATTAGAACTAACAAATCTGTACAAAGACGGCTGATGCTTTGCAGGGCTGAGATCGGGAATCGCTTGGCTGTTGTCAGGCGATGATCAGACTACCCCGAGGCGCCTCCAGAGGAACTTACCGGGCAGGCATTGATCGCTCGGACTACCTTTCCTTACCGAGGGATTCCTTTCCGAATCCTCCCGGCTCTGTGACTCAATGATCCAGATACTGGCCACTGCTTTCAGCATGTGTTATGTGCTATGCATATAGCCCTTGATGGGCTCGAGAGTCGAAAAGAGTGCGTTGTGGCCCAAGTTTAACGCATAAGAAGCTTCTTTCCATAGGGCATCTTTGTGATCTTTGCTAGGTCCGTTGAGAGACATGCTAATCGACTTTAGCTCGAGTTAGCTTATCGAAAGACGCTATGATTCTAGTGAATTCAAAAATTGCGAGACGCTAATTGAAATCCCTCACGGAGCATTCGGAAGCCGTCAATATGTGGATTGGTATCATGCAGCAAAGACCATCAGAGGAACACGTGAACACAAGGCTCTGGCCACATTTTGGCTTTCCCTTTAGACGTAAAAGTCCAGGTGACCATTTCGAATGCTGAGATTTGGTGATACCCTTGCGTTGGAAGGCGAACCAGTGACTCCATACCCAAGACTTCAAAGAAGACTGAACGATATTGGCCTGACTGGTACAGGTCTCAACCCAGCTAAGTTCCTCAATAAATTTGGTCAATTGTTTACAGAAGCTGGATGCAACCATTTTGGATAGACACAAATTGATCCAGTAAACTTCAAGAATACGCTATTCTTGAATACAAAAGTTAATCAGAGGTAGACCTGAAGAAATCAAGGTCTTAGGTCAAAGCCCGGGTAGTCTTTTGACTGTCAACTAGACGTGCATGGATGTATCCTAACTGCCTTGCTCTACATAATGCTCCCTAGTTCTCTCCTCCGCAGCTCTCAAACAATCACTCGTCACAGGGGTGTCTCTGGGGATGAGCTTTACCTTGAAATCCTTCGGGATCGCCACCAAAGCCGTCTTGAACTAGTTATACTCGACATAGTCAGTATTCGGAGGTTCTTCTTCGCTTGCAACAATCTTGTACGAAGATAGCAGCCGCACCAAGGCCGCATATAGTAGACGCTGGGCGATGTACTGCCCGGAGCAGCCGCGGGAACCCAATCCAAAGCTGAGGTGACCGACGCCTGAGATCTCCTTTTCTGACGGGGGATCAAGACTTTCAAGCCACCGCTCGGGATCGAAATGACCGGCATCATCACCAAAATGTCCAACATCTTGCACAACGTCAGTAAGACTAAGAAACCTTCAGTCACTTGGGAAGAGAGTGACGCACCATGATTTCCGGCTTGTGCGTTGACCAAGATCATTGTCTTAGGGGGTATGATGGCTCCGTTCCAATTTACTTCGGTAACGGTCTTTCGGGGAAGACTCATAGAACTGACTGTGTAGCACCTCCCAGCTTCCCTAATAGAGTTTTGCTATCCGGGCAGTACTGTTTGGCTAACCGGGCAGTAATCTACTTTAATATGGCCCGTGTAGCCAACTAGAGGCTAGGAAATTTTTAGCGTACCTTCCTTAATTTACCTCCTATACTTACCGCGGGCCTAAGCTTAAAATCTCTACTTTCTAAGTACGTACTTCTACTACTACTTAGTACGTATATTTCTAATTATATTTCTATCTACTTACTTCTACTTCTACTTAACTACTTCTATTTCTAACCTCTACTACTATATTATTACCGTTGCGTAATTAATTAGTAATAGATTTATTATAACTTTTAATACTAAAGGTCGATTTAGTAAGCTCTCGTAATAATACTACTCTTTTTTTATATATTAAAAACCCTCTTATAAACGGCGCACTTACTAATTTAATTAACGCCCTTATAGTTACTTTTTAGGCCTTTGCTCGTAATTACGGCTTTATAATTATTTATTATAATAGTTCTAATTACGTTAATAGCTAGGCTACGTACTATACTTTATAATATAACCGAGACTTAGTTTATTAAACTAAAGGCATTAGTTTTTGCTAATTAAAAATATAAAAGGTTAGCTACCCTTAATAAAGTATAACTACTACTTATGCTTAAGATAAAAAGAAGTAGACGTTTAGAATTAAAATAGGAGATTATAACTACGGCCCGTCTCTATACCCGTTAGTCTACCCTACTTACTACTAGTTTTTCTCTAACTAGACCGCCCTTATTAGTAACTTATTAAAATATAATATTATTAAACCTTACAAAATCTCTATAGTAGTTCGCGACTATATAGACGTACTATTATATTTTAAATAAAAAAACGTTTATAATAAGTAATAAAAGTAACGCCTCGACTACCTCGCTAGTAGGACCCCTACCTAAGTAGTCTTTTATAATATTTAGACCCGTAGCCTCTACTACCGCGTTTTATAAAATAAAAAAGACCCCAACTTACCTAAGGCTATATTATAAACCTATTTATAGTATAAGTAAATATAAAAACGCTTTCTATAAGTAGTTAGCTTTAATAATATATATAAAACTAATAAGTTTAAAATACCTCTTTTTTAAATTATTAATACTATAAATACTAGCTCGCTATTTAATTACGTTTTTATTATTATTTTGTTAAAACGTCGTAAATTGTACGACTTTTTTATATAGTTATTTAATATAATTCGATAAGAAATAAGAGCCTAGGTACTACGTATAGTTATTACTAATTACGAAAATACCTTATACTTAGCCCTACTTAAGGTCCTATTTACTATCTAACTCTAACTTTATATTTTTTATATTAATATAAATATAAACCTTAACGTTAAACGTAAATAGCTAAGTAACGGCATTATAAAAGTTTAAAATAAGTTTAATATTAATAAGGATAAAGAATCTATTAAAATGTTTATACTAGTTTATAAAGAGTAAAAGGCTACTACTATTATTACCCTCTTATATAACCTATAGACTACAGTACTTAATAAGATCTTATATATTAATAAATTATTTACTACTTAGTAGCTCGAGGCTACTAAGTTCGAGTATATACTTACGGGCTTTTATTAGCTATAAGTATACGTATTTTACGTAAATTTAGAAGTTAATTTTAATATTACTTAAGGAAAGCTATAAGCGGATTTCGCTAACTAAACTCTAGCTCTCTTATACTTAGTTAATACGTATATCCCCCTCTGCTATTAATAGGCCTAGTACTTTATTAATAAATATAAGAACTTTAGTATATATATAAACTTGCTTATTAAAACTACTTATAAAAACTTAAAATCTTATATTATTATTAACTACGTAGACCTCTATACTATTTTCTAAGTAATTAATAAAATACTAATTAATAAAAAAAGGGGGTATATTAAGGTTACTACTATTATAAAATCTTATACCTACTGCGAGTATCTTTATTAACCGTAGCTTAGTAACGTAATTAAGTAAGTAAAATATAAAGCTCTAGATCTTATAGCTTATTAGTACCGAATTATTTTTATTATAATACTATTACTTACTAACGAGAACCTACCTAGTCTTTAGCCTTATTATAAATACTTTATAAACTAATATAAACTACCCTATAACTATAAAATCCTTAAGATCCTAAAGACGTCTAGAGGTTAGTTAACGAAGTATAATATTTACCTATATTAATAGCTTAAGTAGCCCTTAGTATATTAATCTATCCTACTTATAGAATATATACTAACCTCCCTAAAATCTTAATAATACTTTAATATAAATTAAAAATCCCCGTATTATAACTAGTTTACGTACGTAGCTACGTAATTAAAAGATTTTAAATCTAATATCTATACCTATAAGTAGTATCTTATTATTAAGTAGCCTTTTATTAAGTAACTTCTTATCGAATAGCTTATTATTGTTAAGTAAATAGCTTAGATAATTTTATAAAGTTACGAACTTAGCCCCGTAGCTAATAAGAGTAAGTATTCGTTATAACTATTTAGTATTTAAATATAATATAGAGAATAAATTAGTAACCGAGCTATTATAAGAGATTATTTAGGACTATATTATAGTTAAAAAAAACGTTTTAATATTAATAAAACGTAGTAAACGTCGTACTAAGTAGTCGCTAGTATTTACGGCGCTAGGGAATTTCTAATTTACTTAATTAATTAATAAAAAGCCGTAATTAAGGATAGTTTTAATAATTTTAAAAAAAATCGAAATTTAATAAAATCTCTTGATTATTATAATAAAAACTAAAATAATTTATAAATTATATTATTTTATATAAGTAGTTAGAAATAATCTAAACGCCTGGGTAGAATATAGGGAGATTATACTAATTATAGCTAATATGGGATGCGTAAGCTAAAAAAAAAACTTTAGTAATCTAGACGCTACGATTAGTTAGAAAAGTAAATTACTGCCCGGTTAGCCAAACAGTACTACCCGGATAGCAAAACTCCCCTAATAATGGCATTGATGTAGGGAATTTTCTCTTCTACGTAGCAGGAAGCCCATGCTTCGCGCACGTCTGGGTAGTAACGCTTGATATCTTCGTAAGCCCGGTCCTGCCAGGCCTGTCCCTCCTTTGTGGCAAGGGATCCGATAGCCGAGGTGAGAGTCCCCGGTATCGTCTCGAATCCTCCGGACACAAGCGACAGGCAGATGGACGAGACTTCAACCCCGCTAAGCTTAGTTTCTTCGTTCTTCAAAATTGCTGCTGAAATGCAGGGCTTATCGGTGCCCCGCTTGATCTGCTCCCGCACTTTATCCAGAAGCAGATTCAAATACGCGTCTCGGCGTTCCCTGAGATCTTTAGAACGACGGCTCTTCTCATTGTTTGGGAAGTACCGCATGATGGGGACGTAGTCTTGGGTGTTCTCTGAAGCACTACGCAAGAGCGAGATTGCCGAACCAACGTGCAGAATCTCGCGTAACAGGTCATCGTAGACAGCGTCCATTCGAATACCGTAGCAGAGCGTCAAGGTGGTGTTCAACGCATATCGCTGGATATACGGTCGCACGCTAATCTCCACCTCACCGTTGCGACTGTCCTTATGCAGATCTCGGAGGATGCAATAGCTCTCGAGGTCGAACATCGGATAGTAACTCCGAAGGGCGGGTCTTCCAAGCGCCGTGCCTGCGGCCTTGCGTTTTCGGCGGCACGAGTCATCCCAGGGCGACGACCCGATCGTGAAGCCCTGCGTACTGCTGATGAGACCGTGGAAGGTGTACAATTTCGGCCGGTCAATGACTGCATTCTGATAGCCAATGAGCAGACGACGGATGTCTTCATATGAGTTGAACACTACGGCTCTCGTGTTTCCCAGCTTGATTTGGAAGGTGGATGGGTTCCCTTTCCGCCACCAATTCTCGCAAGTGCTCGCGTGGTCTTCGCCGAGCCTTAGAAGATGTCCAAAAATTGGAACAGCGCCAGGCATTTGAGGAAGTCCCTTGATGTGAGGGATGTCAGTGCCGAAGGCAACCTGTGAAGTCAGCATACTCATCGTAGAGCTAGGTGGATAGTCGGAAATGCTGAACGAGCTTACATTATAGGCGACATAGCAGGCCAGTAACGCCAGAGTCGTTGCGAGGACAGGCACGAGTGAGAAAGCCTCTTCAATAACCCCTTTATGCCCCAGAGACTGGAACGATCTGGTTAAATTGAGCAAAGTTGACATCATGAGCTGGCCCTTTCTGCGGTCGCTTCTCGCCGAACATGAGGAATGGAGTCAGTCTGCTGGATCCGTAGTAAAGGGTCACCAGGACGTTGCCGACAGTACTTATATGACTCCGGATTGAGGAGAATATAGCGAGATCGTTGAAATTCGCACAAAGATCTCTCATGCATCAATCTTCCCCTCAATCACGGTCATGTCGGTCGGAGGTCGAACAGTGATGTGGCCATTAATCATCGGACGACCCGATACCTCCAACTGCAGGCTTATCATTCGTGTCGGACAAGCCGCCCACCGACCACTGGTAATATAGACATCATTTGAACAGATAGGATTGACTGGGTAAGATAGTAAGAGACCTAGGTAGCTCGTCTTTTGGCTTTTCAGCTCACGCCTCGCTGACTTCCATCATTTCTTTGTACCTAGTAGATATCTGTTCAACCATTCGACATATCTTGCCAGCCACAGGGAACTTGACGCTAAGCTTGTCAAATAGCTCGATAGTCAAGTCAAGGTCCGCCACTGCTCCCTTGTCTCTCAAAACAGAGATGAGATTATCAGGCTGGGCAGTTGTAGCGTATATTAGGGACAAAGTTGCGGTAAATATCGAGAGAAGGTTGAGCCAATTGTATGCAAGACACCTTTGGCGGTGCATATTAGATACTTGACGAATCGACATGGATGCAGCTTCCGCTAACACTTTGACACGGGGTTCTGGCAGAGTCGGGAATAGCGGAGATGGTCGATACAACATGGCGACGTGGAGATAATAGTTGAAGTCATACCAGCTGCTGTTGAGGTGCGGCACTGCGGCGTCGGTGTTTGGAAGAGGAAATGGCATATTGCGACGCCAGTTAAGAAGTCTTTGGTGGAGCGAGTTTGATACCTCTTCGCGCTGTTCGGCATTGAGGCTGGCTGACATTCGGTGCGAATAGACTGAAGTCGTGATGTTGCTGGCAATCTGCCGTAGCTCGAGGATGTGGAGAGGAACGGTTAGTATAGAAGGCTTAAATGAGTTCTCGGGCAGATCAATTTGTGCCCCAACGTCACTTTCATCTTCCACCGCGAAGGGCTTGAAATTTGAGTCAGTTGATGGGCGAAAAGTTGAACAATCAAGTCCCGAGAGAGTGCCTATCTTACCGTCACATCGATGTCATCTTCATTGATGGCGAATGGGCGACCTAGAGCCATAGATACTACGCTGTTGGATAGGATCAGTATGCCAGGCATTGCGGTATTGTGGATCGTGAGGACTCACCGATCCATCATGTAAACGGAAAAGAAGAGCCTCTTCCGCTTTTCAGACACGTCGGCTGGTAGGCCTTCGTAGGTTGAGGAAGCATGCATGCCTAATCCAATTGCCATACGTGCACCGAGACCAACCAATGTCCATGTATCTGTTATCAAAAAAGTGAGCAAGAGTATCCAAACGAATTTCTGGCATCGCTTACTGGGTCCAAGCTGGTTGAAGAAAGAATAAGATACTTGCAGAAGTAAAACTTCCAACGCGGCCTTCAGTTATGTGTCAGCCTTCATATCCCCCATAAACTCACTTACACGGAGATTCGTACCATGTATCCATAATCGAGAGCCCCCTCAAAGTGCTCGAGTGCTTTCTTGTAGTACATCATTGATTCGTGCTCATCTGAAAGGGTGACTGAGCATTGCGCAGTTGATCCAATGGCAAGGACCATCCATAGGCGAAATTGACATAGGGATGATTGAGCTAAAGCACACTGAGGATCCGCTCGAACATGCTCCAGTATATTATTGAACTCCTGGCGGTGAACGATCGGGTATAACGTATGCGAGTGAGCAAAGTAGAAACGTATGAGCTGGTCAACATGACTGCCTTCAAGAGAGACCTGTTGCTCTGGAAGGGAGATGGGCTCGGTTGGCGCGGTCGGGGAGAACTCGTCAAGCATCGAAGGGTAGCACATGAAAGGGTCTCTGAATCCACTGAACAACGTTGAATCCAAGAGGTCCGAAGTCGAGGAGGGAAGGTTCAACTGCGGCCACATGCCACCCTCGGGTTCAAAATGAGCGAAGCTAAAGTCGGCCTTGTCGGGATTCAGACGCCGAAGAACGGTTTGTGTCAGCTTGGCGAAGGAGAGGCCGGAGGAAGATCCCAAATGACGATCAGCCGTTGCCTCGAAGGAGAGGATTTTGAGCTCTTCGACGAAGGAAGGGGAGGACTGCAAGAGAGGCAGCTGGGTAGGCGAGGGCTCATAAAGCAAGTTCGTGCTGTTTGCCTCCGTCTCTTGACGACCGAGGGCAATGTTAATATCACTTGTATCCGGATTTATGAGTTCCACTCGAGAGTCTAGTTCTCTTCCTGTCGCGGATCTTAGTGAATTGATTTCCTTTTCGAGAGACTTGACTTTTGCCTCGAGACTGCGCACGTATCTATTCAATATGTTTTATTCAGCAAACGTCAAAGAGTTTATATACTATCAAAAAAGGATATCACTTACGTGACGGGATAAGATGCCATAACACGATCATCATCGAGGAAGCTGCACGACACTCGAGCCCCGCTACAGTTCCTGCATTGGGGCAACCCGCGATCACATCTTTTCTTTCGTCGGTGACATCGCTTGCACGACGTTTTAGCTTGAGCGTCCGCAAATTCTGGTGCCATGTCTGATGACTGTGACAACGTTGGGATGTAAGTGAGAGGACAGTCGGATCTCCCGACGGCAGTTAGCGGTACGTTGAGGAATTACCCCGCCCTCGTCTGATAACGGGAGAGGTTGCATATCGGCTGGGCCGACGACCAGCGAAAGAGTCCGATAAGCGATCAACCGCTTACAGAGGCGAAGTTGAGCATCGAACAGCGTTTGACATACCTCATAAGTGGTTCGTACACTTCGTTTGAAGATTCTAAGGATGGCTTCACTCGACATTACGCGACTCTTTTCGGTCAAGGGCTATGTGGCCGTGGTGACCGGAGGCAGTAGCGGACTGGGCCTAATGATAGCAAAGGTATGTGACCCAACATCTCAGTATAACGACTCAAGGCCGAGAGACCATGATCCTTGGTAGCAACTTGAATTCTCATTTCAGATTACTAGGGCCTCGTCACAAATGGTGCCAAGGTGTACGTGGCTGCTTTACCAACTGACGTCATTGATGAAGCTGTCAAAGAGCTCAACGAGTTGGGCAAGTCTTCTGGAGGGAATGCAATAGGGTATGGCAGAAATTCTAGCTCATGACATCGCATCTCTGACTTCTGCAGTGTGCCATGCGACCTGTCGTCGCAGGATGAGATAACAAAGCTGGTAAAATATGTTCAACAACGCGAACACAGCCTTGACTTATTAGTGTCAAACGCTGGTATTCGACGGGATCCGCTGGATCTTTGCGACCTGGAGACTGATAATGTCCTCGAATTGCAAGCTTCAATGCAGTCTTCGAGGCCGTCTGACTGGAAAGACACATTTTCCATCAACGTCACATCACACTATTACCTCGCTGTCGCATTCCTTCCCCTGCTGCATGCTGCCGCTTCCCATAATGATGACGACGGTCCCGGTAGTCGTCAAGGACGTGGCGCCATGATCATGACGAGCTCATGTGCTAGTATGCACAACGTTACCAATGTTGACCTGACGAGCTACGCTGCAAGCAAAGCCGCTACGGATCACCTAGTGAAGCTTCTGGCCGCCAAGTTCAGAAATTTCTACGTTCGAGTTGTGGGGTTGAATCCTGGCTGTAAGTGACAATAAAGTCGTTGGTAGCTGAGATTACTGATCATATGGAATTCCCCTAGTCTTTCCAAGTCGTATGAATCCTGTTGGAGAGGAAGGCAATGTGTTTAGTTCCTTGTTCAACAAGGTTCCTGCCAAAAGAGCTGGTCAAGAGGAAGATATCGCCGGCGCGGTGATTTATCTTGCTAGCAGAGCTGGGGTAAGCCTCAAGTCTTCTCGTTCCGACATTCAAGTCCCAAACTTCAACACCAGTTGCAATCTTATCCATGCGTTCCTTTATTAACTGACCTACGAAATAAGTCTTACGTTGACGGCATCAACTTATGCATTGATGGTGGCCGCATTCTTGTGGCAAATGGGCAGGAATGAAGTTTCGCGGATAGATGCATCAACGAGGCTTTGCAACATGGGATTAGATTGATTAGTATTCACTGTAGTATGTACTTCACTACTCTCCCTTCATCAAACGTAGCTCTCGTAGCAGCGTTATTCGTCGCAGCCCTCGCCTCATACGCATTTCTCTCCTCTTCAGGCAGAGCTTCCCACCGTCTCAGCACTTCCTGCCAGTCATTTTCTTGCTCATCGCGAAACACGCTCAGCCCGGTGATCATTCCCAGGCGCGCAGGCACGCCAGGAAGCCTCTCCCCACGGCTCGCAAGCCCTGCCAAGTTCCTCCCTTGTTGCTGATGCTCTCCTGCAAATGGAAGAGCAAAAGCTGCCGGCCATTCGGCTAGAGCTGTCTCATGCTGAGCCCCAGTCTCACATCGTAGCATCTCCGAACAAGCACGGCACGTTACCTTTTGTTCTCCGGATAGTGCATGCCAACCGAGCTCAACGTCATAACCTGAAATACCCGCTTCGTTAGCGAACAGGGTGATTGGGGTGAACGGCGTAGCTGCAGGTGGCCATGGGCCAGATCCGAAGCGGTCAGCGCGCGAAGGAGGAGCTCTGACCGGCCATGGTGACGGGGAGCCGATGGTAGAAAATAGAGATGGAATCTATGAAGATTCTCGTATAGTGGCGAGGTGTTCGCTGATCCGAGCGGCCAACTCTTTGTCCAGGTTGCCGAGCTGATGCTGCTCATGGAGAGCCCTCATGGCGTTGATCTTACTTTACATGGGGCGGAGATTTGTCCAACTTAAGCAAAGAATCCGCTTTGCCGCAATCCTTTTCGTCTCATTGCAGGCAGCAGTGATCATGAAATGTCTTGGACGAAGATGCAGGTGGATTCACGGGGTTGAGAGATATAGTCTTAAAACTTTTAATTGGAATAATCCTCAGTTGTGTTTCTGCCCATGGGATATCTATTTCTTTCACCCTAAACGCCGATGATGTGATGGACGGATATGTCAACACGATTCTACCCAAATAGTTTGTCTAGAACCTTTTCAAAGACGTTCCTGGTCATGCCCGTTAGAACCACTTGTTCATTATCGGATAAGATTGGCAACTTACTTGGCAGGAGTAGGTACGAACGTCCTCTCATACTCGTCAATCTCATCCTTGTTGCGGTACAGGTCGACCTCTTCAGGTTTGAAGATCTTGGTCTTCTTGAGGAATTTCCAGCCCAGGTACAGCACAGGGAAGATGCCGACCATCGTATACCTCGTGCTTGTCAGTATACCATGCAGGCTAGCTAAAAGACGATGGTTGGCTTACGAGAAGAGAAAATCAGGGATACTCCAGTATCCATCCAGAGGCAAGAAAACGGTGTACCCTCCAACGAACGTCATGATGAAGGTGCCGATGAGACCGTACCAGGCAGCGTACGGCTGGAACCAAGCCTTGTAGGGAAGGGTATCGCGACTAATGCCTTGGGCCTTGAGCGCACGATAGAACCCAAGATATGCCGTGCACATGCAGGAGAAGTTGATCAACTGCGACGCGGTGACCAAGCTCACAAACCAATTCAGCACAACAGCAGTGTTGGCACTGAGTTGCAGGAAGCTGAGCAGGCCGATGAGCAAGACGGCGATGACGCAGTAGACCGGAACGCCCTTCTTCGTGCACTTCTTGAAAAACGCGGGCGCCTTGCCCTCCAGTGCCAGTCCGTACAGCGATCTTGAAGCACAATAGACGTACGAATTACCCGCAGAGAAGGCGGCTGTGAGGACCATGGCGTTGACGATGTGAGGCAGGCCGCTGATCTTGAGGCGATTCATGGCGACGACGTAGGGTGAGGCCGAGGCGCCAGGTTCGCCGTCCTTGAAGGCGCGAGTAAGCTCTTCGTCGTTGTAGGGGACGAGGATGCCGACGCAGAGGGAGCCAAGGACGAAGAAGGCGGTCAGGCGGTAGAAGACGGCGTTGAAGGCGCGGGGCATGACTTTGCGCGGGTTCTCGGCCTCGCCGGCGGCCATGGCGACGTAATCGGGTCCTGCGATGGTAAAGGAAGCTTGAATCAAGCACTGTAGAAATCCGAGGAAGCGTCCGAGGGAGCCGCTGTAGTATAGCTCTGTGAATGCGCCTGGTTCGTACCAGTACCTAGATGGGTCAACTCGGTTAGAGGACTTGGCTGATGGGAGAGAGTAGAGACAACTGCCTACCGGAAGCCGAATCTGTCTCCAAGCGGGTTTCCTATGGACAAGATAAGTATTGTGTTTCCAATTGATGTTACGTATGAAGTTGCATACCTCCCAGCATGACAATGAACGTAAAGATGATGAGTCCCACGATGAGCAAGAACTTGCCAAGCGCAGCCCAGAACTCTGTCTCGCCGTACCACTGCACCGCCATGACATTAATGATACCGTATAAGACGAGAATGATGGCAATGATGCCTCCAGCGGGTACGACGTCGCTCCAAAAGTGGATGATGAGGTTGCAGGCGACGACCTCAAATGGGACGAGGGCAGCTTCAAAGACGAAAAAGTTCCAGCCGGCAGCGAACCCAAAGGCCTCATCGACGTAGCGACCGGCGAAGCGGATGAAGGGACTCGAAATCGGGAGGTAGGTGACCATCTCGGCCATGCTCAGGGTCACGGCCAGGATGAAAGTACACCAGATGGTGAAGGCGAGGAATAAGCTGGCGGGGCCGCCATTGAGCAAACCTCTTCCGATTTGTACCTATGTTTGTGTGAGTACCTGAAATGAGATGTGATTTTCTATCGACTCGTGCTTCAAGGTGACGTACGTAAAGAGCGGTTCCTGCATACAATGTGAGTTGGGTTCATCTCTGGATATCACGTCTAAGGGCCTACCAATTGTGCCGCCAATGCCAATCAGTTGAATGTGGCGCGACTTGAGCTTGCGGTGAGTATGGTCTCCCTTGTCGCCAGAATCGAGCGAAGACCGAAATCCGCCGTCTAAGGGTTCGCCATATGGCTCACCGACGCCCTTCTCATCGGGGAAACGGCCATGTTCGGAGTAGCCGCCTCCATAATTCGGAAGGCCATCGCGGTGTCCCGCTCGCTCGATGCCGGTGGATGACATTGTCGGTCGGTCGGGGCGAGGGGAAAGATGTGGGGGATTAGGCCCGGTTTAGTGGGGGATCTCGGCGCGGCCTCGTTTCGAGTCGAGTCGGAAGAGTGAACGGAGGAGAAGGGGGGCTCGACAGTCCAGATGCGCGCTCGTGACGGGTTGAGCGAAGTTGATGATCTTGGAATTGATTTGCAGCCTTGGAGAAGTCACGGTTATGTGAACCTCAAATTACCAAAGGGCTTTGAGAAGAAGACAGAAGAATTGGACTTTGAATTCCATGAGGGTTTCACACTGCACACAAGCACCGGTCGATGTCTCGGGGGTTGATGTGGATTTGGCTCTTCGCGTTAGAAGAAGAAGGACGTTAGGAAAAGCCGCACGTAGGAGAAGAGGAAGAGGAGCGAGAAAGGACCGAGAGAGCTCTTCGGCGCGACCAACACTGCGACCGCAGATCCTTTTCAAGAATTCCCAAATATCAGGGACCGCAGCAATTACACTGCAGCGTCGCAGCAGACAGAGAGGCGGGAACAGTGGGGTGAGACTGAGGGGTGAAGGACTGCAAGAGGGAGGTCTGCATCAGAGTGGATGCCTCTGTGCGAACCATGCCCAACGCGGGATGGGCCCGAAGAGGTATGAGGGCGTAGTGAGGAGGCGGCGACCAGGGGATGGGGGAAGATGGGGGCGGTCCAGCTTGTCTCTTCCGGGGATCGTTCCCTGTCTTTTCCTATCCTCGGAGATCATGCCAGACGGGTTATTGTATCTCCATTCAAGAGTCTGTGGCCGGCGTAGCTATCTGTAATTAGTAATGAAAATAGTTTGGTTTTTTATCGCGATTCTGGTGGTAATAGCTCAGTCTCTCGGGTTGGCTTCTCTAATTAGACTCCGAGGAAAATGTTTCCGAGTCCCGGCAAGTCGTTGGTCCCTGAAGACGAATCTGCAGCGCGGGCAAAGACTGGCCAGAGCTCGAGAGTCGACAAGGTTCACCCACAAACATTCTACAAGAGGGGTACTTGGATGAACGTATCTATGTGTACCGTGGTGCTTGATGACGCGGTAGAGAAGACAGGGAGCCTTATCAGACCTGTTCGAGTAGGTAGGTAGAGTCTTCAGAGACGCCGCGTGTTGTGCGACGGTCACATTGCTTGCGTCGTTGGTTGGTGCTATGATTTCCCACACTACTATCAAGCGTGATCGCCCAAATATTTACAGGCGGGAGAAGCAGAATGAGAGATTCGGTGACGGAGAGCCCACTATGTTGGGTCAGCTGCGGGTGTCTGGTCCTCTGCAGGATGCACATCGCTGCCAGTGACATACTGATAGCTCTCGGTCTATCTGGACCGGAGCTCTCTTGATTGCCATTGATTGACTGCTGACAGCAGTTCGAGGCCATTCGCTGGCGCGACCCAGCCGCTTGGCATCGGTGTGTCCGGTCCATGTTCCATCCCACGCGGCCCAGCAGCGTGGCTTGCGCTGCTTATGGAAAGCGTAGTACGACCTTTCGACGGGAAGAACGAGGCATTTCATACCAATTGAAGATGAGACTTTTGCCAACGATTGGCTGCCCATTGCGTGCTTCGTGTGGGTGAAGGCGCCGTTCCAGCTGCCGTTCGCCGCATGGATAGCAGGTCCGATTTATTTGAACCACATACCTGGTCCTGGGCTCTGGCGAAATATGATTGAGCAATATTGCGATGGACCCCTTGAGCCAAGGCAGAGCGAAGCTTTTGGGGATTAGCGACAAGCAATGAGGCTGCCCGGGGACAAGAACTGTTTGATCGCGGGATGGCTAGGCGCATTGGCGACTTGGCTTTCGAGGGCAAAGAAGCTTCATTTGCTGCTCACATCACGTCAAGTACCCCGCGGGAGACGGAAATGCCTGCTCTGTGAATGCGCAGGTGGCTGGTCGAGTTGTCTGCGCCTCTACATAGCAGCACCCAGGAAGAATCCCATCCCCATTCCCCGATTGCGTTACCGTGAGTTTTGATTGTGCCTCTTGGCATCTTGGCAGAAACATGAAGCCAATTGCTTTGCCAACTGCTATGCCAATTTGCCGTTGAGAGCCGGTCGGGATCCCTTGGCAGGCTAGAGTTCTACGTCACGCTATCAAGCAATGATAACTCGTCAACTGCTCTAGGGCGTCTCTCATTGGGCGGGCGAAAGATGGATGAGCCCATTGTTTACGGCGTCGACGGCGTACCTGCACAGTACCTAGTGTCTCCGCGCCGCCTGCAAAGTCTTGGCCTCTGGAAGGTAACGTATCCACGAATTTGAGATGGCCAAAGTGAGACTGATGGTATCATTGGTCCAAGTCCGAATGATCAAATGGAAGCAAGCTACGGAGTACTGGTGACCCCATTGGATTGAGTTTGGCGAGAAATTGAAATGAGGACTTATTGACTCGGGCCGTCTTCTTGTTCCTCCTAGACCTCGGCCGGGTCGCGCTCACTACATCCACCCAGAACCTCGGAACGGAATCACAATTCGGTACCATTCGTCAATAGGTACTCAACGGCTCATACAGTCATTGACGTTCAGTGGTACATGAATACTCCAGAAGCGGGTGTGTGCACATAGCGTCGTCTGGCGCAGGAACGCGCGCCGCGCCGCGAACCTTCAGGTTTTTGGCGGCGCCCCAGTGCCTAGAACCGCTGCATTCATTGCCCTTAAACCTAGTTGGAACTCCTCGCTGGAAGTCGCAGTTCACCGGGGAGAATTCCTCCTAGTTCCACCGTCGGGACCCTCCCGAAATTTCCAGTTGACATCCATTTTCACGTGCTCTCAAGCCTTTTGATAAAGAGCGAATACGAAGTACACGCTTCCAATGAGGCTTTCGTCTCAGAGTACATTACTTGTTGATACATGAATATGTGGTCGTGTGCAGCAAGGCGGCATCTAGAGCTCCTAGGAAATTGACCACAACCAGCGCAGTAACTACGCTTACTTTTGATTTTCTCAGGTGTTCGCAACTCCAGCGATTACCATGTGCAAACAATGAAAAGGCAGCACACTACTCTAAAGCTACACTATATCGGGCCATCATCGCAACTTCGAAGGCTCGATGAGCAATGTGTCTGAAGCAGCCTTGTGACGCGAAAGAAGGTTCCAACGCGCTTGGGGCTCTACTCTATAGCGTGACCTGGAGCTCGGATCTTCAGCGTCAAGCACCAATCAAAATGGTCTATTAGTCTAGTTGGTTAGGACGTCGGATTCTGACTCTCAGAACTTTCCGTAGGCCCAGGTTCGAATCCTGGATGGACCTCATTTGCTTTTGCCTCAACTACAAACTCCAGTCAGGTTTCATTTTTGCCATTGTCAACTAGCCCTGCGTCTTCCTCGTCATATTGCTCATTTTGGGCATGTTCCGCCCAGACGATCACCACCTGGCGACCTTCTCATCAGACCAGTACTCTCCAGTCTTGCCACCAATGTCCGCAATCGCCAGATGCACGGGTGTCTGCGCACCCTCATCAGGCGTCTTTGTGCCGCCGCCTCGCGTCATATCCGTGACCACGTACCCGGGATGGCACGAGTTGACGAGCAGCTTGCTTCCCTTGTCCTGCAACTCCTTGGCCATGGCCTTGGTCATGCCAATCTCGCCAGCTTTAGAGACCGCGTACGCGGCGCTGGGCCAACCTTGCTTCTCGTGCGTGCCCTTGTCGACCGCGGCGGTGAAGTCTTCCATTAGCTTGGTGACGTCCGACACGGACTGCGCGTCAAGGAAGCGCTGCTTGATGTCTGGCGAGTACTTGCTTAGGGACCCTGATACCGATGCCACGTTGACGATGCGCCCGTCTGGCTTCATAACCGGGATCCAGGCGCGTGTCGCTTCCAGTGTACCGTAGTAGTTGCATGCCAGAGTGTTCTTCACCACGTTTGAGTCTTGTGCACGGAGAGTTAGCTTCTATGTTGAACCATCGCAGCACTTGATGATCGCGCTTACCAAACCCTTGCATGGCAATACCAGCGTTGTTGATGATGAAATCAACGCCATCGGGATGTTCCTTTTTCAGAAATGATGCGAGGTTCGAGATGCTGGATGAATCTGAGATGTCAAGCTGGTGGTACTTGATGTCCGCCGCGCCACCGTGGGTAGACAGGACCTTGGCCTGCTTGAGATCCGCGTCGCCTTGAATCTTGCTGAGTGCTTGCTCACCGCGAGACTTGTCGCGCGCAGTTAGATAGATGAGCAGCGAGCCATTGTTTAGATGGGAATTGGGATATTGCAGCGCGAGCTGTCGGACTGGTGAGAGAGTAAGAAGTTAGTTGAAGTGACGCGATTCTGGGGTGGGATGAGATCCTACCGACTGCAAATCCGATGCCCTTGTTGGCACCGGTCACCACACCAACTCGGGAGTATGTCATGACGTTTCTCGTAAAGGGGACTCTTTACATACAAATTTGGAAGAATCAAGGTCAAAAGAAGGGGATTTGCTCAAGAAAGCTGATCACATTGGCACGAACTGTTTACTGATCCATGACATCACTAAGTTGACACTCGACTGTGCATTAGTCATCGCGTAGCGCACTGAAGTTCTCTCTTCTTCCAGGTCTCAGCCGGCGACACTACGGTCACCTACGGCATGTACAGGCCCCAGTGGGCCCGAACCCGAACCCGAACGCCTCGGCCGGGACGCGGAGAAGTGGAGTGACACCGGTCCCGCGCCGTTCGGCCCGGGGGTGCAAGTACGATGTGCATCGCACCGCTGATGGCTGCCATTCTAACCCCCTTTACCACTTCACCGCCGACTCGAAGAAGTACCCTGCGTCGAGTTAGTGCGTCCAGGTTGGCGGCCCACAGTCGAGACGGAGGTTTTCACCAGTCACGACACCGAAATATGCACTCGGGTGCGCAGCCTATTTCCAAGAGTAGCTATGATGTGATTGATGCAGCATGAGAGGGTGCTTCACGTGCAGGTTGCATTATGAATGAAAGGTGCGATTGGCATGTTGAAGCACAGCATGCAGCGAGATAGAGAGCCCATCGCTCCGCCCAAGGGTGGCTTTTGGAGAGGCAAGCCTCACTTTCCCTTCTGCCGATGACCTCCTACAGCATGAAATGCTATGCAGAAGGCCACGTGCGGGGGTTGCTGTTCGAGCCTACATTCACCCCGGGGCGATTCGCTCTCGAGGATATTAGAGCGCTATTGCTCCTGCTTTTTCTTCACGTCTGGGGAGATTGTGAGTTACGTGGCCATAAATTCAATCAACACAGCGCCTACATCTTTTCTGCCCTTGAGATTTGCAACTCAATTGAAATGGCCGAGATCCTTGGAATAGTTGCTAGCGTCGCAGCTCTTATACAGCTTGCTCATTATGGTGAAAAGTTCGCAAAGGCTTTGTTCAACTTCTCGAAACAGAATAGCTCTCCGCGGAAAGAAGTTGATCGATGTGCCTCCCAAGCACAAGACTTCTCGGATTGTATCAATATGACTCATTTCACTCTCGAACGACACTTCGCAAATTACACCAAGTCTCCTCTTCTTCAATATCTTTCATCCCAAGGGATACTCGATCGGATACTGAATCGATCGGAATTGATAGAATGGCGGCTCGATAAAGCAACCATACGAGTCCGATCACTTCTTGGGGGCGGAAACGCCGTTTTCAACTTTTTCAAGTGGTGGTATCAGAAGGACAGTATCCTAGATCTATTTCCAGAGATGGATTCTGTAAAGATCAGTCTTCAGCTGCTTGTGTCCGCCACTCAACTCGAGGTTCTCGACATGGAATGCAAAGCTTCACTCTGGGATACTGAGAAATTCATCTCGAATGAGAAACACATGTACGTTCTCACAAACATGGGGACCTCACCCGGAGTCATCGACTCAGTTCTGAACTCACTCTAAGCTAGTAATCACCTGAAAAAAGTCATTAGAGGTAATTTGAAAACACTGAAAAGACTAGAGGCCCAAATTGAAAGAGCCAACCCACTCATGCCAACGGATACCTTCACACATCAGACACAGTCCAACAGCTCTCTCTACGAGATTATGTTACCCTTAGGAAGAAGTATGGTGAAAACTGGGAGTATCCCGAAGCCCAAGTTCGTCTCATCAGCGTCGTCAGAGTCATCTACCAGGACCAAGGAGGTAATTTCTCACATCCAAAATAACCTTTTCCGAAGACTAATGGCGAGGCCACAGACCTACAAATCTTCATCGTCGGGCAATTCCATGCCATCAGTATCTTCAGCTCCTTCACGTGGAGCAAGCTCCCAAACGGAGGCACGCCATTATGATCACGAGGCCCTGTACAAGTTCGAACGCCGCTTGCAACATGAGAGACTTTCACGCAAACAGTCATCGTCGGCGAAGACTACGACATCATCGACAACAGGCCAACCAGCTACTAAACGTCATGTCGACCATGGGAGCGGTGCAAATTCGAACATCCAGGAAGTAAAATCCGTCCAGGCATCGCAAAGTCAACGCCAAC